AATCTAAGAATAGCTGACATTTATTGAAAATTTACTATTAACAAGTATAGAATAAAATATTAGTGTAAAATTACAGTGGACACTGATTTATTCTTCACACTATTTTATTTTGTCTGTTTCACAGATGAGTAAACTGAGGCACAGAGGATTTAAGTGAGTGGCTTAAAGTTACAGAGCACAAAGGTAAGAAGTACCAGATTCAAAAGTCACTCAGTCTGGTTCCAATGTTTAAATACTTATTTTTTTTTATGCTATGCTGATTCTCAATAAAAGTCTTGTTTTATAAAAGTAATACTTTTATTAGGATCTTTAATTTTCATTTTATTGTAAGATAAATAGTAGTTTTGCTCTGGCCTGGAAGAGATGTAGGCCATACAATCTGTTTCTTCTTAGAACTGTACTGAAGGTTCTCTGATCTAAACAGAATTCCCTTTCTCAATTGTGCAAAGAGATGCCTTTGAGTGAATTTTGCTCATCACCTAACTTTTTTAGGAAAATAACTGTCATTGCTAATATCAATGCTAAAGTTTGGAGCTCCAAAACAATGACTTCCAATAAAGAATAAAATTGGGTCACTCTACATTCAAAAGTATCATTGCTTCCAATTAGGTCACAAATGCCATCTTCCACATATCAGGTCACATACATTATCTTCAACTCTCAGGGGACTTATAGAGATAAGAAGGTTGAGGATCTTTATCTAGTTGGACTTGATGAAGATCATTCAACTAGAAAAGGGGGGAACTGGGATTTGGATCAATCTTGCACTGAACCCAGAGTTTGTGATTTTTCTACTAAGACAAATTTAATTTAATAGTATCTCAAATGCAGGCCTATACAACTGGCCAAAACTTCCAAAATTTGTTAATTTCACCTAAGTTATAGCTAAGAACCCAGAAATTTAGGCTTAATCAATAGTATCAAACATAGTGACCATAATGATAATTACTAGAGAAAAAAAGGTACATCCTTGCACCTTTAGTCTGAAACCTCTCAATCAGTTCTAAGTTCATAACTATATTATCATCTCTTTGAAACAAATAAAAAAAAATGTTCAGGCATGTCTTAGTCTTTCCTTCCAGAGTAAATTAAAAAAAAAAATTTGGAATATAGCTACTCCTATAGCATGAAACTATTCCACAATATCGAGAAGAACAGAAACCTCCCCGACACCTTTTATGAAGCGAATATTACTCTGGTACCAAAACCAGGAAAGGATGCAACAAAAAAGAAAACTACAGACCAATATCCCTAATGAATATAGATGCAAAAATTTTCAACAAAATCTTAGCTAACCAAATCTAGACACTTATAAAAAAAAAATCCACCATGACCAAGTGGGCTTCATCCCAGGGATGCAGGGATGGTTCAACATACGTAAATCTATAAATGCAATTCACCACATAAACAAAAGCAAAAACAAAGACCACATGATTCTTTCAATAGATGCAGAAAAAGCTTTTGACAAAATTCAATACCCTTTCATGATATGAACACTTAAGAAAATAGGCATAGAAGGGACATACCTAAAAATGATACAAGCCATATATGACAGACCCATAGCCAACATCATACTGAATGGGGAAAAATTGAAATCATTCCCACTTAGAACTGGAACCAGACAAGGCTGCCCACTATCTCCACTTCTGTTCAACATAGTGCTGGAAGTCTTGGCTACAGCAATCAGACAGGAAAATGGAATCAAAGTTATCCAAATAGGGGCAGAAGAGATCAAACTTTCACTGTTTGCTGATGATATGATATTGTATCTAGAAAACCCCAAGGATTCAACCAAGAAACTCCTGGAACTGATCAATGAATTTAGTAAAGTCTCAGGATACAAAATCAATACACAGAAATCAGAGACATTCATATACGCCAACAACAATCTAATTGAGAACCAAATCAAAGACTCAATTCCCTTCACAATAGCAACAAAGAAATTAAAGTACCTAGGAATATACTTAACCAAGGACGTAAAAGACCTCTACAGGAAGAACTATGAAACACTGAGGAAGGAAATAGCAGAGGATGTAAACAGATGGAAATCCATACCATGCTCATGGATCGGCAGACTCAATATCATCAAAATGTCTATACTACCCAAACTGATCTACAGATTCAATGCAATACCTATTAAAATCCCATCAGCATTCTTCATAGATATAGAAAAAATAATTTTACGCTTCCTATGGAACCAAAGAAGACCCCGAATATCAAGAGCAATTCTAGGCAACAAAAACAAAATGGGAGGCATTAATATGGCAGATATCAAACTATACTACAAAGCTGTAGTAATTAAATCAATATGGTATTGGCACAAAAATAGGAATATAGACCGGTGGAACAGATGTGAGAATCCTGATATAAAACCATCCTCATATAGCCATCTCATCTTTGACAAAGCAGACAAAAATATACGCTGGGGAAAAGAATCCCTCTTCAATAAATGGTGCTGGGAAAACTGGATAGCCACCTGTAGAAGGCTAAAATAGGACCCACACCTTTCACCTCTCACAAAAACCAACTCACGCTGGATAACAGACTTAAACCTAAGGTATGAAACTATTAGAACTCTAGAGGAAAAAGTTGGAAACACTCTCCTAGACATCGGCCTGGGCAAAGAGTTTATGAAGAAGTCCCCAAAGGCAATCACAGCAGCAACAAAAATAAATAAATGGGACATGATCAAACTACAAAGCTTCTGTACAGCCAAAGAAATAGTCATGAAAGTAAACAGACAACCTACAGAATGGGAGAAAATTTTTGCATCCTATGCATCCGATAAGGGACTGATAACTAGAATATACTTAGAACTCACGAAAATCAGGAAGGAAAAATCAAATAACCCCATTAAAAAGTGGGCAAAGGACTTGAACAGAAACTTTTCTAAAGAAGACAGAAGAATGGCCAACAAACATATGAAGAAATGCTCAACATCTCTAATCATCAGGGAAATGCAAATCAAAACCACAATGAGATATCACTTAACCCCAGTGAGAATGGCCTTTATCAAAAAATCTCCAAACAATAAATGCTGGCATGGTTGCGGAGAGAGAGGAACACTCCTACACTGCTGGTGGGACTGCAAACTAGTTCAACCTCTGTGGAAAGCAATATGGAGATACCTTAAAGTGATACAAGTGAATCTACCATTTGATCCAGCAATCCCATTGCTGGGCATCTACCCAAATGATCCAATGACACTCTACAAAAAAGACACCTGCACTCGAATGTTTATAGCAGCACAATTCATAATTGCAAGGCTGTGGAAACAGCCCAAGTGCCCATCAATCCAAGAATGGATTAATAAAATGTGGTATATGTATACCATGGAGTACTATTCAGCTCTAAGAAACAATGGTGATATAGCACATCTTATATTTTCCTGGTTAGAGCTGGAACTCATACTACTAAGTGAAGTATCCCAAGAATGGAAAAACAAGCACCAGATATATTCTTCAGCAAACTGGTATTAACTGAGTAGCACCTAAGTGGACACATAGGTACCACAGTAATAGGGTATTGGGGTATATACATACATAATGAGTGAGATGTGCACCATCTGGGGGATGGTCATGATGGCGACTCAGACTTTTGGGGGGAGGGGGGAAATGGGCATTTATTGAAACCTTAAAATCTGTACCCCCATAATATGCCAAAATAAAAAAAAAACTTGATGGCCTTGGAGCTTTTAAAATGCTTCCAAGTTATTAATACTTCACCAGTAGCTGCCACTCCTTTTTTAGTAGAAATTGATGATGGATCAAATAAAAATAATAGAAGCTGCGCCCTGTTAATATCTTAAGATTTCTACTTTGTTTCTTTTTGAGATGAAGGCTGTAGAGTTTTATACCATATTCTCTCCGAGAATAAAAATGATTAGCAGCACAATTGCATTGTTTTTGCTAATGGAAATCCAAGCATTTGCAATTTATCCAAAATCATTTGTAGTCTTTATATTCCCCACATTCTCATTTAAGCATCAACATAACTAAAATACAAATACTTTTTTATAACCTGTAAACACTATAATCATTATCTTTACTTACATTTTTAAAACAAGAAAAAATAATCATATACTTAAAAACTTCATGTTGTTTTGAATACATGATAAATATGCACAATTTTATCTGTCACTTAAAATATTAAACCTGAAAAAAAGAACCAAAAATAATCATAGCTTACTTGAACTTAATTGGGTCTCAGAATGCCAAGTGCATAAAAACTGTCTTTCAGTTTGTAATGTTAGTAATTCCGATTTGTAAATATGATTAATTTCCTATAGCCCAGCTGTTCAGAAGTTGAGCTATTCCTATATTCTGGCTATTGGTTTTCATTATAAAGTCTCGTGGGGGCAAATGCATCACTAACAAGAGTGGAGGTTAGGTTATAAGCATAGCTCTATCTTCTCAGATTCCATGTCTATTGGAAAACAAGACCCTGAGTCTCAGAGTATAATGTTAGATGTGTTGTAGGGAGACTTGACTAACTCTTTTAGGTAACAGCTTCACAAGGTGAATAGGAAATATGAATCATAGTTCCTTTCAATGATCTACCATCAACTTATTACATTTTATTAAATGTATATTGAATCTAATAATACAACTAATACCATTGGGCCTTCTTTCACAATTCTTGAAGTCTGAGAGTAGAAAATGGCAAAAGCCTAGGATTTATTGTGAAATGCCATTTTCACCATCTAACATCTGTGTTTTAATGAACATAGTAAGAATATTAATTTCTTTAAGCTTCATGTTCTTTTTTTGTCATTCTGAGTAAGAATAATAATAATTTACTGAATAAAATAATTTTATTATTTTAGCACACAATTTGACACAGAGTAAGTATACAACAAATGGTAACTCTTACTAAGTTCTACATGTATATTACATGGCTCTAAGTTTTGGCCTATATTTTCAATTCTAAAGATTGAAGTGATTTCCTTAAACCAGACTATAAAACACAAAGATTTGTAAGTGTGTCTGTGTTAATTTTACCTTTCTTTAATACCTGATATACTTCCATCTTCACCTCATCTTCTATATTATCAGTGAGGAACATCATAGTATATTTAGTCTGACATCTTTATACCCTGGGGCCAGTTTCTTGAGATGACACTCTGATAGTTGTTTGTTTTTGCTATTTTTGTTCAAACCCCTAAGATCAAAGATAAAATATGTGAGTTAGTCATCCTACTTTCCAAAGTAAGTCATTAGATAATTTATGCAGAATTGTAAAGGAGGTATTTAAAATCAATTTTGATACTTTTAATCCATCACCAATTTGATGTTATAAAATAGGGTGTAGATTATTGGAAAGTGGAGGATTTCTTCAAAGAGAGTGTGCAGTACATCAAAATACCCTCCACCTCCACCCTTGGGTTGGAGAGGGTTGCAGTAATCACTTAGTTCAAGATTTGAGGATACTGTGTCTGTACTAAAATATATGGGAAGCCATAAACTAGTGACTGACTTTCCTGAAAAACAGTGAAAAAGTGTAGAGGGCAGCAGAATAGATGGTGTCATTTGCAAAGTACCTCCTCTTCCTCTGATAGGAGGTCAAAGTGATCTGATTACCAGGAACTAGTTAGAAGACCTGATTTACTCAGAGTGCCAATATTGGCTGTGAGATGTCTTAAAAGGGAAAACTGTGCTTTGCATGGTGTCAGAGGGTGATGCAAGCCACACGCAAAGAGGCTTAATTATATCAATAGCTATAGAAGTTGAGGGACAATATTAAGAAATCAGTTCAAGAAGAAACACTAACCTAAGCCAAAATACCCACTTGCTGCACCCCTGCAAGAAATTCTGAGAAACTCCCAAAAGAACCTAGGAAAGAAAATAATATTTAATCAGAATTTTCCAGAGGATTATGACACTGAATTAACTTATGTGCCAGTCAAGTAAGATTGTTCCTATCCCACTTTTTCCCACTCCAATTTAACCATGAAAAAGGCAAGAGCAGTCTTGTGAATAGGGAAGAAACATAAGAATGGTAAATAAAACAGCCACCAATGTTTCCTTTATTGCAGGGTTGGTCAGCCTATGTCAGGGGATAGCTGAGAAGAGAATATTTTTCACTTTGAAAGGACTATAGAATTTTGTGTATTCTCACTAGGCAAATTAGTTAGTAAAATGAGAGTATTCTAGTGACTGGAGAAATTTACTTTTATCTCAGGGTTTGAAGATAAGCATAGATGCCTATTTGAGATTTTTATCTTAGCAGAAATTTTTGCCACATAGGGTAAGACTGGGCAGTAAATGGGAAGGAAGAATATCTATCTTTGTTTTTTTCTTATAGTACCCTACAACATTTTCTTTGTGCGCTACAATTATTTCTTCTCTCACTTTGCTGATTATTTTAGTTACACGAGTTGAAACAGATTTATCACAATGAGAATAATATTTAACTTATTTGAAAGTTTAGATTATTTTGAGATACTTTTTATTAGCAATAAAATAGCTGACTATTGGGGTTTTATACCATTTATGCATTTACTGGATTATAAAGGCAATTGAGCTAAGGTCTCAACCTGTGAATAGCACCAAACTGTAAAAGTAAGTCTTTTATATTCCTGCATTATTCTCTAATTAACTTTCCCATGTCCTTATGGTGTAAATTGAGGAGAACATGAACTGAAACATTTGATATAAGTCGATGCCACTTAGTTCTGCATTTCAGATACATGTCTACATTAACCATTACAAAAACCTAAAATATTTAACAATGGGCAAAATACTTTTTTCCCAATACTCTGGAGTGAAGTATATGGAAATTAAAAAAGAAAGAAAGAAAGAAGCCAAAAAAAGAAAAAAAACCTTAAATTCAGTTGGATTAGATAAAATGGCTTCTCATTATTATTTCAATATTTAAGCGAATGAAAAATTAAATCTTCTTTTGGAATTTATATTAGAGCAGGTGTCCTCAAACTACAGTCCGCAGGCCACTGTAGTTTGGGCAAAAACACCCATGTGTGTTTTTGCATGTGTTTTTGCCCATTTGTTTTTTTACTTCAAAATAAGATATGTGCCTTGTGCATAGGAATTTGTTCATAGTTTTTTTTTAAACTATAGTCTGGCCCTCCAACAGTCTGAGGGACAGTGAACTGGCTCCCTGTTTAAAAAGTTTGAGGACTCCTGTATTAGAGTCTGCTTTTTTATATAGATGTAAATATTCATAAAATCTTGAGCTTCTTTTTACCTTTTATTAGAAAGTATGGTAAAACAATGTCAACTCAATGGAGAATGGAGAATAGGTGTAATTATATAATATAGTGAGTTTATGAAGGTATCAAGACAAAGGGCACAAGTAAAAGGCTAAAGACTAGGAGGAAAAATGCAGCTAATAGAGTAAAAAATATTTTCTTTTGTGTTTTAGAGGACATGGTACTCAGAGCAAGTGAAGTTGTCCCAAGCGCTCGTTAGCTGGTACCACCAGGTAATGTTGGAAAAGAAATTTTTCAACAATATTATGTGATCCCAGCATCACTATGCAGTAGTGCTATGCAGAAATACTGGGTCTCATTTGCCCTTGATTTATATTTTACATACTATGCATTATTCATTGTTGAATCTTTGTATTTTTCCATCATTACAGAACCTAAACAAACAGAGTTGCTTTAGCAGTGTGAAATACTAATACAGGCACATCTCTCCACTTCAGCTTCTACTTAAGCTTTATCATATTCATATCTTTAGAAAGTTCAATATCCTCCACTTTAGGTTTCCATTAACCAATATTTCAGAGGGGTCTCTCATTTCATATCATGGGAGGTGGTGAGGCAGTGTCACTTCTAAATGCTAGGATGGAAAGAAAGAACAGAAATAGAGCTCCAGTTCTCTAGCCACTGTCACAAGGCAGCACTGTGGAACCCCATTCAGCCCAGTCTTCCCGACACTTGTCTGCTGCCGTAGATACACCAGTATGCTGTTTTGACATAGATATGTAAGGTCATCGTCCTTTCAATTCATATTGCATGCTTAAACATGACTGAATGCAATATGAGCCCTAAGTTAGAATGTCAGAGTTCAGAAAGGCTTCCAGTCCAGCTACTAGCTTTCCATCAAAAGAGTGTAGATCTTTTGTGGGTGCTGACATTAATTACCAGCCCATTGCCCTCTTTTCATGCCTTCCATTTTCAAATCCTTTATTAAAGTAAACTTATCCAAAATAGAAGATGGGAAATATTGGCCAAGGATGTGTATGAATCCTTATCAACTCCTCAGCCTCACACTATAGATCTTCAAATAAAAGATCCAAGACAGAAAAATCCTTCAAAACACAATGTTTTGTCAAGCATTTTTATTTGTCGATGGAAACTGTACTTTTCTCCTAGGAAAACCAAACAACCTGCTCTTTCCACCTATGAAAATAGAAGCAGCTAGTATATTTGTACATATATATTTTTCATCTAGCATCTCTTATTGAAAAACACACACACATATATCAAAAATTTCAATAAGAAAAAAGGATAAAAAGATTTTTCAGAAGGTCTTTTTCTGACATATATATAGCCTGGATTCAAAATGGTTAACTATTTAAATTCTAACTTTCCAACCACTGTTCTGTCTTGCTTTCTTCAGGGAGTTTCCATTTCAGAAGGCATTAAATGAAGGTGCTTTCTCACCTTCGTGTAATACATCATGAAATAATGAAGAGAAAATGGGTAAAAATGCCTTTTTATCTATAATATTTTATCATATATTTTTAAAATTATCTGTCTAAATATTCTATATATTTATTTCTATATTATATTTATTCTATATATTTATTTCCAATTTCCTCAGTCATGTTTAACTTTTAAAAATGATATTTTATATTACTAATAATGAATGTCAATACCATTCAATTGAATGTAGTAAAAATAGTATAACAATATTACGATATATAAACACAGATATGGCTAATATATTAAATCTTGCCAATTCCTGACTTGTAGTGCTTTAAAATATCTACAACATTCAGTAAACTCGCTAGTACAACATAATTTGTTAATAAAACTTTTCAATATTGAAAGGAAAAGTTAATAGTTTATTATAAATAATTTTGAATATCATACACCTACCATACAAAGTTGGGATTTTTCAGATTCCAAAGACATATTTTCTAATAGAAATGTATTTTCTTGCACTACATAACCATTAAAAGACATCTGCATTGTCAATAGATGGCAGCATAGCTCTTTAGGAGTTTCAAGGGACCTACTTAACAGTTTAAGATCATAGCCATTAGCATGCTAAAAATGGTAATCTCAGTGAAGCTTTCTCATTGCATTTTTTTTTAATACTTCATTGCACTGATGCTACTTATTTCCAAAAAGGAAACTGAAAAATATATGTAAACTTTATGGTCCAGTTTTTTTTTTAATTTAAAGTTATATAATGTTGGTGTAGGAGCTGTCAGATGAAGGAATAGATATTACTGTTGACACATTAATGTATGAATCTTTCACTTTACTATTAGGCCTTGAAATCTTAGTTGACACACAGAATGTGAACTTTTAATAAATTACCACTAATATATCGATATAAGAATACTTTTAACCAAATTTTTAAAGAAATTACTATGGAGGAAAAATATTTGACCATTGGTCTTTCTTGTTTTTAAGGAAGATGAGGATTTAATCTGTGAGAGTAGAAGCTGTTCTTTAAACAGTTCAGTGGATCTGCTTTAGGGGAAGGAAAGCAAGCTGAACTTTTCAATGAAATTTATCCTATAAAATTACACATGGATGGGGTAACTCTTGAGGAAAAATAACACTATGGACTGTTTGAGTTTTATTCAGGTAGCCCACGATGCCTCTGAAGTTGAGGTTGATAGAGCTTTGTACAATACTCCTACAGAAATAAACACTGTCCATAAAGACACAAGGTGCTGACAGACAAAAGAGGAGAAACACAGGAGGCACAGTAATTTGTTTTAATAGTAATTTGTTTCTGCCCTAAAGCTATCACCACAAGATATAAAAGAGCACAAATCACGTAGTGCAAACAAACCGGTTATAGCACTATTAGTTTTAATGATTCTGAACAATCAAGATGGTATCACTACTTTATTAATATTACTAAAGGAATCTTTGTCAGTGTCGAAGAAGTCTTCCTGACATTTTTATAAATTATTTTTTTCTTAGATTTTCCTTATTTATTTCCAAGCAGAGATAAGCCCAAATTCTTATGAGGTCTGTTTTGTTTCACCGAGTCTATGACATAGATCTTCCTGTGGCAAATATTCATTCCCACATGCAATTTCCACAGAGGAAAATAATTTTCTATTCAAAAATACTTCCTTAACAACTGTTTTCTAGTAACAACCTCTATCTTTAGTAGGTTTCTCTAAGTAGATCATTTTATTTATTAATTCATTTGTTATTGACATATTCATTTTACATATATTTAAATGCATGTCTACTATATTTCAGGTACTGTGGTAGATATGGCATTTTTATACATAATGTATAAATCTCTTTCTTTCACATCCTGTAGAAAAGAAAGGCAGGTGAAATAAATGTTGCTACTCTTATGGAAATATTGGCACAAAATATAGAAGTCACTCTTCTTACTGACCTCCACATAACCTTATCCCAAGAACATCAAAGCTCTATATTTTCTTTGTAGAACAGATTGACTGATGCCCAGGGCATGTTGTATGTGCTACTCTCATGTATACCTCTACCAATTTACTTGTATATTTGCTAAGAGTCAATTGTATTTATTTCAAATCCTGTTCATGACAGTCACACCTAATGTTATAATTAATACTTTCCTTATTAGAAAAAATATATATGCAGAAATAGAGTTGCTATCTCTTTGAAAAACCAAGTTCTAACTAA